CCCCGACCGGTCCGGAGGCAAACTTTGGAATTACATCCCTTACTAACTACCCCCTTGAATGCCGATTTTGATGGTGACCAGATAGGTTTATACGTGCCTCTAACCCCCGAAGCTCGCCAAGAAATTGAAAAATACGCTTTGTCTAGCCAACAAATTGTCGACCCCAAAAATGGCTTAGTAATTACCACTATTTCTAAGGACATGATTCTAGGAATTTATCACTTAACCTGTGAAAAAAAAGCCCCCAAACTGTTTTTCTATGAGGATTGAGGAAGCCTGAGCCAGGGTTGCGAAAAAGGACAAATAACCATCCAGGATTTAATTGTCGTGCCGGCCAGTTTAGTTACACGGTGCTGCGCCCAGGAAAAAAATAGACTTTTACTCACTACTTACGGAAAACTGCTGTTTAACCGCATTTTGCCCGAAAGTTTTCCTTATTATCTAAATAATTTGGAAAATTACGAAGCGAGGATGGAGAACTTAATACAAGTAAGCGAAATTACAGAAAAATGACAAAATTATTCTCCCCAATCCGGTTGAAGAAAAAAACCGATTATTGCTTTCATTAATGACTTGGTTCACCAAATACCTCGGGAAGAAATGGTAGATTTTCTTGACAAGTTAAAAAAAATTGGTTTCGATTACGCAACCACTTCCGGTATTAGCATTTCTCCTTTCGAGTTAGGAGAAGTGGTCAACAAAGAAAACCATTTGGCTAGTGCCTGAGAAAAAATTCGGCAAGCCGAGGACTATTATCGCCAAGGATTTTATAGCCGGAAGGAAATTAAACAAAAGAAAATTGAGATTTGGACAGAATGTAAAGATAATTTGGAAAACCAATTAATTACTAATCTGGCCACCAAAAAAGATACTTCTTTTTATAATATTTGAGATTCTGGAGCCCGGGCCAGCAGCGAAAATCTCACCCAAATATTTGCCCTCCGGGGTAATGTTGCTAACTACTTAGGAGAGATTATGGAAACCCCAATTATCTCCTCCTTATGAGAAGGAATGAACCCGAACGAATTTTTCATTTCGGTTTACGGAGCTATCAAGGGAATGATTGACGTGGCTTTGAAAACGGCTAGTGCTGGCGACTTAGCCCGCCGACTAGCCGAAGCCAGCCAAAGCATTATTATTACAGCCGAGGATTGCCAAACTCGCAACAGTATTCTCTGCCAAGAAAATGACCCCGCATTGTTGGCAGAAAAAATATACGGACGCTGTTTGGCTCAGGACCTCACTACTGAACAAAATGGAGTCATTCTGGCTCGCAATACCTTCTTATTTAAAAAGCAGATACAAATTATCCAAACTAAGCAAATAACCGCGGTGGAAGTGCGTTCGCCCCTGGGCTGCGAATTAGAATTGGGTATTTGTCAAGCATGCTACGGGTCCGATTTAAGCCGACCTGGCGAAGCAATTGCTCTCCACACCGCAGTGGGCATTATTGCCGCCCAATCACTTAGCGAGCCCGGCACCCAATTAACTATGCGAACTTTCCACACGGGGGGCATTGCGGCCGAGGAGGACGACATTATTCAAGGTTTAGACAAAGTTAAACAAATATTCGATAATGTCAAAATTAAAGAACTAGAAAAAGCTATTTTGGCTCGCAATACCGGAGAAATAGTCAGCGTGG